CGGCCTTTCACTACACTCGAATCCACGTGGGTGCTCCAGGTAAATCCCGCAATCTAACTAATCATGCAGAAACGTGTCCCTCACGTCCATCTGCCAAAGCTTCCATGCTTTGCTTACCGCGAGTGCGATAGGGGTGAGAACGGGTTGGATCAAGGCCGAATCCAACCAGATCCGAATCCAGATCCAAATAGTATACATATATACATCAAATCCAGGTCCAAACCTGATCCTGGATATTCGGATCCAGATCTAGATTCAGATCCAAATAGTATACATCGGATCCAGATCCGGATTACTCTCTCTCTCTCTCTCTCTCTCTCTCTCTATATATATATATATATATATATATATACTATTTAAAAATATTTATATAATAATTTACTATTTCAACAAAATCAAGTTGGATCCGGATCGCATCCACCAGCACCTATATCCGATCAGGATTTCAATTCGGACCTGACTTTTACGTCTGGATCCGGATTTCGGATCCAAATTTTGGGTCCATATCTGGATCTGAATACGGTCCGAAATACAAGTTTCGGATCCGGATTGGGTCAATTCTCAACCCTAGCGATCAACACAGGCAAAGTCGTGATCTTCGCCTTGCAACGATCAACATGCCATCTGACTGCCTATTGACTTTGGACACCCATTTGCACAAACTAGGCTTCATGTTTGATGTCATGAGACTAGCTCCCACATCTGTTTCTTCTTGAGACATCAAATTCTTCTTGCACTGTAGTTTGCCATTCAACCACATTCTTTACCTCATCAAATGAGGCTGGCTCGACAATCTCATAATTGTCAGAGACACCATAGTGCACAACTGACACCTCTTGTGCATGTGCTACATCTGCATGCTTCAGATTTGGATTGTGAATCCAAGTAGACCTATGCAACTGTTCTCTCTAACTTCAACTCCTTCAAGATCATCAAGTTGCAATGGTCACAACTCTTCTGGTGTAGAGGATACTTGCAAATCACTTGCCGCATCATGATCTTGTCATGTACCCATCTTCTATGGGTTGACTGACCTACTCTTGGAACTTCCACCACCCAACAACATGGGCGACAACTATCACTTTTGAACCTTGTCCATTGTTTTCCTACAACTTCATAGGCAATACAGTCAGCGACACCGTTATCAGTGTCCTATGGAGGACCAATTGTCTCTAACCCTGCCTTCATCTTTTTGGCAACACAAGGAGAGTTTGGAAAGGCCACATTTTCAGCCGACACCATGACTAGGCTTCATTGAACACACTATCTCTGGAGACATAAACTCTCCCAGTAGAAGGGTCCATGCATCGCCAACCCTTCTTTTGCTCGTCATAACCAATGAACATTGCTCACATGGCCTTTTTTGCTAACTTGGTTCGTTGTGGCTTCGGCACCATGACATAAGACACGCAGCCAAACACGCTGAAATAGCTCACGGTCGGTCTCCTTCATGTAAGCTTCTCGTATGGTGACACGAAGCCCAACCATGGCAGCGACATACAATTGATAACATGAGCTGCAGTACGAATGCACTCTGCCCAATACTAGAGCTGTACATTTCTCCCATGCGTCATGCTCCGCATCGTCTCATGGAGATGCCTATTCTTTCTCTCTACAATCCATTTTGTTGTGAATTTTATGCACATGTCAGTTGTCGCTTTATTCCACATTCCTTCAAGTATGTATTGAATTTGTTCAACATATACTCGCCACCATTATCAGTCCACAAGCACCTGATCTTGTGACCGATCTCTCCCTAAACTTGTTCACGGAATTCATTGAACCTTGTGAACACTTTGGACTTCTCCCTCAAAAGATACACCCACATGTAGCATGAGTAACTGTCTACAAAGATGAGGAAGTAACACCTTGCCACCAACGGATTGGCACTCCATCGGCCCACATGCATCGAAGTGGATCATCTCCACAGGAACCTTCGAGAAGGACTTTGTTAGAGGGAATGTTGTTGATGCACTTCTCTATATTGGCAGCCTGCACACACTGTTTGATGCCAACTTAAGGTCCCTCACAACTTGTCACTTTGACATTATCTGTAACTTATCAAATGCAACATGAGCGAGGCGAGAATACCACAAATCTAGGCTGATAGGAGGGGTCATGTGTTACCGTTGACTCTTTCATACATCGAAGGGGCCGAGCTAATGGGAGCAGAGAAGGCCACGCAAAACTTAACACCTTGATCTTTCAAGGGTCTTTGTTTTGAGCAAAAAATAATATTAAAAAGTAATAATAAAAATTAGTAAATAAGAGTCCTGGTTGTATTAGGAATGTGTTTAGGGTTGAATAACATGACAGTTTGGCTTTGAAAAAGCCATAGAATAAGGTTGAGTATTACATGGCTTATCCCATTATAGCAATATTTTAGTGAAGGGATAACATTCATGTTTTGAAAATGGTGTTATGTATAGGACTAGTCCTCTAGTAGGACTAATCTTCCTAGAAACTTGAGAGTCACGTTATTCCCACATATATACAAAGGCCTATGTACTTTGCTTTTGTGTGAATGAAAAGTTTGTTCTCTCTCATACTGAGTTCATTATCGAACATTGTCATCCATGGTACATCAAATCATATTTCTTTCTAAAAGGGCTTCTGTGACTTCTTTCCCATGCTTCCTGATTTTGGTGTGTGTTTCATTGAGCACAATAGAGGTTCAAGTAAGGAAATATGTGAAAAGACACTGTGCCCACATATGAAACCATACTTGGAAACTAAAGGTGGTCATTCCAGATTGTGATGCAAGATCAAGAAGGAACATATGTTACTGACAATTCAGCATTCTAGGGCTGCGTTTGGCATCATTTGCAAATTCCTGTGCACATGTTTCAACCAAATGATCAAATCCATTATCTTATTCTTTTTTTATGGAGCTCTCAACTTCATGTTGAGTGATGATTGAAAACATGGACTTAGTTTCGGAACCACGCACGGCCAAGCCCAAGTCAGCCAGTCCAACTCCACTGAGTCTATGTGAAAATTATACATTAACCTAGGTAACCAGTGAGAAACAGCAGGTTCCTAAGGTTTTTCAATAGGGGTGGGCACCCTACCATGTCTAAGTCTTTCAAGCGAGTCTAAGCTAGTGACAACAAGTTTTCAAATATTGATACTGGGATTGTGACTTGCACAACTCCAAGCTAATGGGGACTTCTATAATTTTCTGAACCTATACACTCACTTAATTCTGTTGAGTTTAGACCCCTGATATTCCTTTCCAGTAAGGTCCTTGCTAGACCCATAACCCATTCTCGCAAGTGGAGAGAAGGCAGGATATAGAACTGAAAATAAGATTGTTATTCCTAATTCTGTTGAAAAGGATGGTTAATCCTTTCGACAAGCTACCTTTTTTGAAGGGGCCATTCATGGATCTAAAAAATAAAAAAATATTAGAAGAAAGATAGAATGGACCATTCAAAGATCTATTTACCAAATAATAATAATAATGGAGTAACCTAGTGGATTTGTTTTAACCCTAGTATATTGTTCCATCTCATGCACATGGCAATCTAATGAATTGTTTAGTGGATAAATACGTATAAAACATCACAAAAGAGAAGTTTCAATATATTGCATCTAAAAGAGGTAATATGAGTTTAAGCTACATAAAAGCTCATGCAAGCCTCCCTCCACCAGCAGTGCCAGCTCTCACAAAGATTAGCAATATGAGAGAGATGCATTGAGGACTAGGATTTTCATAATATCCCAAAAAAATAACACTATCATTGCCAACATGGCAAAATCTTACTCACTTTGTCTGCTTGGTCATCATGTTACTTTTCTCAATTCCTATGCAAATAGCCATTGGTGTCAACTTCTGGAGACCTCTTCCTTTATGTGAGGTCACTCTACCACAATTTTTGCAAACCTAATGCCTCCCAAAGCACACATTCTGAATAAAAAATGCTCAAACAAACTTAGATTGAGTGACACATCAATTGATTGAGTGACAACTCCATTGAATCCCAATGTTATCCTCTCCCTAATCAAGAACTCTCAGAAAAACCTAGAGACGATCATAATATACAAGAACAAATGTGAGAATTCTCCATGAGGTAGAAACTAGAAACTAGAAACTCTGGATTTCTTGAGTTATCCTTCGCAAAGTTGAATTGCTAATGAGGGAGTTTTACATCGTTCAAGAAGAGCAAGAGTTCTAAAACATGATTCCTTACTCAGGTTTCTTGACCAATTGAGGCAAGCAACTGCCTAGCAGTTAATGACAGTAATTGATAATGCATTTCTTCACTTCCTATGTATGCTTTCATAATCTTTAGAGGATTTTCATGACCGACCCATGTAAGTGCTTTTCTTATGGTGTGATGGCGTAATTACATGGGACTCTTCTTAATTACTCAAAGATGCATGTTGTCTCTTACAACTCTAGGTGTCTAAGCCGATAGAAATAAACCACAAAGCCATGATTGAACAGAAAACCCAGAAGGACCTATATAGGAGGCCCAGTAACACCAGATATCTAGTCATCAGAACCCATTCAACTAAGTCAACTTACATCCTTTAATTTCAGAGCAGACATACCTAAAATTCACTAGTTTTTTGTCAATGAAAATACATTTTTTTATTCATCTTTCAAATTATATGACAACAAGAATCTGTCTTTTTCCTTATAGTAGCAGAGAACCTATCCACCTAAATCAACTAGTTTATCTCATTTAATTTCAAAATGGACATACTCACATACCTAAAAATCATGCACTTTTTTGTTCATGAAATTACAATACATTTCTTTGTATAAGAACAAGTACTTACAACATTTTCAGCGATACAAGCAATAAAAGAGAATAAGATAAATGACAACTTACATTCCTGTGTTCACCAGATTTCCTCTACATGATACAACCAAATTGTTCACTGAATTGCATGCTATCTCTAACATATCCAAAAAGAAATCTACTGAAAAGTGGGTAAACAAAATAGATCATCCATAAAATTATAATTGAAACGAAATGACCATTTCTCACCTTTTTTTGCATGGATTCCATCAACGGGGAGTCAATGGAGCCAGATTCAGAGACTTGAGAAGCTCTGATACTGAGATTGCGCACAAGGAAACGTCTTTCACCGACATTGAATCGAGGGTTTCTCCTTAGAGAAGAGGAAGAGATCGAATGAAACGTCGAACTCGAAAAGAGGGGTTTAAAGAGAAAGGAAGGCGGAAAAGCAATACGGAGAAGAGGCCTGGACATAACAACAGCACAAGGGCGAACCAGAGTAGCCGCCATTGTTTCCTTCCCTTCTTTTGTGATTTTAGCGACTGAAGAAAGAAGGTTGGATTTTTTAATCTCTTTTTCTCCGAGAATGATATATCTGTGTTTGTGCGGTATGCAAGACAATGTTAATAATACTCCCGCGAGAGTAAATTGTATATTTACTCCCTTCAGCAAAACCCCCCTTATGAAGTTTCGCGAGTCACTTTAGAATCACCACCTGAGTACAATATCTTTGGGTGTCGTTTTTGCAACCAAAATTTATCATAACATGTAAAAAAAATTTAATATATCTAATTATAAAATTTTAGACTCCAAAAATAGTTAAAATAAGGTGACATTTATTCCACCTTCCTCTCAGCTCAGCCCTCTTATGCGCTTTATTGGACTATATTGCCGATCTGGGAGAGAGACCTTCTTCCAATGAATCAGAAGACTTGGCAATTAGAATTGGTGATGCTCTTAGTGCCCATCATCGATACTATCTGAGGGTAACTACTTCTGCTTTCCCATTGCGAAGGTGTAAATTTCTAGAAAAGCTTTTGGTCTTGTGCATCAATGATATTGACATTTTGTGCAGCCATGAGTGCATAACTTATAATTTTTCTAGAGAAGAGAGAATTGAATAGAAATAAAAACTGAGACCAAAGATAAGAAACATCTTTTCTAGTCTCTCATCGCGTTGGATTCTCCACTTGTATGACGAGCATAGGTTCAGAGACCATCGACTTCACAATAGTGTTTTGATGGGATGTATCCTGTTTGTATAAAGGTGTAGACCCATTCATCTGCCTAGATAGTTCACCTTTTTTATATGCTGATCCAGGAAAAAAAGAGTTGTCATGCACACATTCTACCGGAACACCAGAAGAACTAGTAGCCATTGTAGACACACCCCTTTTCAAATTTGAATTTCCACTGCTGACTTTCCCCCCAGGTGATGTTGTAGGGTTAGAACCAATAGACTTCCTTCTCCATACTTGCTCAACATGTGGTAATTTTAGCAACTACCCAGTATGGGGCGGGCTACATTTTCTCTTTTTGGATTCAAAGTTCCATTGTTGCTTGCAACTTCTTGCCTTTGTTGTGAGTGAGCTAGTTGCTTTTGTTTACTATTTTGTTTCCAATTGATGATGAAGAGCTTGAGGAAGGCCTTAGAATGGTGGCTAGGGACCCTTCCAGTGTAATAGATTGAGAGAAATTATCCCCTAGAACTTTTAGGGCAAGGCTACTGGAGATCTTCGTTCCCAGAATTTGTTGAACTTTAATTATGAGAATCCCCAAGGTAGGGCCTATCAATGTGAACCAATCAACCTCCACCAATCTTCCATTGCTGAACCACAATATTAAAAACCTCATTAGTCCAATCATGTATAGGAATCCCTTCAATTTGAAGCTAGATCATCGGGAGGTGTATAAGTGAGTGGTTATTTTTTACTGAGCACCATTCCGTTCACACAAGAACACCTTTAAATCTCTTATGAGGCCTCTGTGTCATCTGTATATTGTAGAAGGAACAACATAGGCCCCTCTGCCAAGATTGTGGCCCTTTAATCAAGCCACTAGCCTTCACCCATTTTAGCATCATAATAAATGATTCAACCACCAGAGTTAAAAAGAAAGGAGAGAGTGGGTCACCTTGACGAACCCCCCTAGTTGCTTTAAATTATCCACATATATTGTCATTGATAACCATAAAGAAATCGTTCAATGATAAGCATCCTTTGATCCATATTCTCCACCTACTCCCAAAACCCATGTGGTCCATGACCTTGTTCAAATAGTCCCATTCAACTCTATTGTATGCCTTTTCAAAATCAAGTTTAATTAAGATACCTTCCTTCCCATGCTACTTGTAGTGTGTATGAACTCAGCCAAGAGTATGCCATCCATCATTTGTTGATCAATGATAAATGTTGTTTGGGAGCCCTCCACAACTTCACTAAAAACCTTCCTGAGCCTATTTGCTAACATCATAGTGAGGATATTATAAGATGCCGACAAGAGGCTTATAAGGCTAAGATCTTGGAGCGATTCAATGGTGTCTTTCTTAGGCAGCAGTGTGATAAAAGTGAAAATTATTGCTATGAGGATCACCAGTCCAGATAAATTGTTTAACCCATTGCATATAATCTTTTTTAACTACATCATAGGAGTCTTGATAGAAAGCCATCTGGTCATAAGGCTTTATCTCTTAGCAAAGCAAATATGGCTTCCTTAAGCTCTTCTATGGTGAACTCTGCCTCCAATGCCCTAATAAAGTTGTGGGATAAAGAGCTAAAATGCATATTTTCTAGGCTAAAAGGCAATTGAGGTTTAGAAGTGAAAGCTCTTTGGAAACATATGACAATAGCCTCTTCCATTCCTTTCTTGTCCTGATTAACCACCAAAATCACCAAACCATTAAGGCTATTAGTTCCTCTACACGAATTTGCAATATCATGGAAGTACTTAGTGCTATTATCTCCCTCTTTGATCCACTTCGAACAGGACCTTTGATACCATAATATCTCTTCCATTCTTAAAAGGTTATTCAATTCACCTCTGTGATCCTCTATTGTCTTCTTTTGTTCACTATTAAACACACACATCCCCTCTCCCCCAACCCCAACCCCC